TCATTTTATTCTTGAACTTCCTGCCTAGATTGATCGCTGATTTGGTGAAGCAATGTTGTCGCTGATCTTGCACCTGCATTCACATTGTTTCACATCAAACTCATTAATGAACAAATTCATGAATTCCAAGATTTCCTTCGTCACATCCAATCAAAAGGAAACACTTTTACTGATGATTATAAAGTTTCCTGTCTGATTGATAAACTCACTCTATCCTGATCTAGATTTGTTGGAGATCTCCGGCACAAATAAGGAGATCTAACCTTAACTGAAGTCCTCAAGGCTATTCGTATTGAAGACCAGCATAGGTAAAATTCCAAAACCAAGTCTGAATCAAAAGCTAAAGTGAACTTGGTAGAAGATAAGCCTAAATCTAGGAATTTCAAACCGAAAGGAAAAAAATTCAAGAAAAATCATCAATCCTTTAACAAATCTTCTTCCAAATTCAATCACATCTCTTCCAGCCCTAAGTCTGATGAAAAGTTCTGTTATGTATGTGGTAGAACCAACCACCTGGCTCCCAACTGTTTTTTTTTTTGGAAGAAGGAACCGGCTAAACCTGCTCCTAAAGGAAAGGGATCCAACAAAATTAATATGATTGAAGAGAATCCAACTTCCTTCATGTTAGCCTCTTTATCCTATCTTGTGAATTCCCTTACTTCTTTCACTGACTAGTACTTGGATTCTGAAGCTAATATTCATGTTTGCAATGATCGTTCTTGGTTTTCAACTTATCAGGAATCATGTGGAGGAAGCATAAGCTTAGCAGATGACTCCACCAAACAAATAATTAGAAGTGGATGTATAGAGCTCACCATGACCTCTGGGAAAGCTCTAAATTTGCAAGGCATCCATCATGTTCCTTCTCTCCGTCGAAATTTGATCAATGAATCTATTCTCCTTAGAGATGGCTGTAGGATTGTCAATGAATCAAATAAATTTATGATTACCAAAAATAATGTATTCATTAGAAAAGGTTTTATCTGTAATGGTCTTTTCAAACTCAATGTAAACAATTTCAGTTCCAATAAAGTTTCTGAGTCTTTTGTTGTACAAATTGTTGAGTCTTGTGATGTCTGGTATGGACGACTAGGACATGTCAATTTCCAAACCTTGCAAAGAATGATCAAATTGAATCTTATTCCTAAATTCTCTCATGATCACTCATCTAAGTGTGAGATATGTGTTTAAGGGAAACACACTAAAAAACCCTTCAAGTTTATAACTAGAGACTCTGAACCTCTCGAATTAATTCATAGTGATGTGTGTGACTCAAACCGAGTTCTCACCAGAGGGGGTAGGAGATATTTTATGACATTTATACACGATCACTCTAGATATTATTACACCTATCTTCTCAAAACTAAAGATGAAGTCTTAGATAGGTTTAAGGTGTATAAAGCTGAATCTGAGAACCAACTTGACAGAAAGATCAAGATTCTAAGATCTGATCGTGCTGGGGGGAGTATACCTCAAATGATATGACTGAATATTACCAAGATCATGGTATTATTCATGAGGTTACTGCTCCCTGTACACCACAGTCTAATTGGGTAGCTGAACGAAAGAACAGAACCCTAACGGACATGGTAAACTGTATGTTACTCAGTTTAGGAGCACCTGAAAATCTCTGGGGTGAAGCTCTTCTTTCTGCTTGCTTCATTCTCAATAGAATTTCCCATAAACATTCTGAGACAACTCCTTATGAATATTGGAAGGGGAGATCTCCTAGGTTAAACTTCTTCCGGGTTTAAGGTTGCTTGGCTAAAGTAGCTATTCTCAAATCTAAGAAGAGGAAAATTGACTATAGATGCTGTTTTTATTGGATATGCACTAGATAACAATGTTAATAGATTTCTGGTCATTAACTCTGAAATCAGTGACATATCCAACAATACTATCATTAAAGCTAGAGATGCAGTCTATTTTGAAAACATCTTTCCTTTCAAATTCAAAACCTCTAAAAATCCTAGTTCATCTCTTCCTTCTGATTTACCATCTTCCAGTTCTTCCCAGCCTTTTGATATTGAACATCGAAGGAGTAAAAGAGGTAAAATTCAAAAAGATTTTGGAGAAGACTTCTTTACCTTTCTTGTTGAAGGTGATCCAAGCTCATTCCAAGAAAATTCAAAAAGATTTTGGAGAAGACTTCTTTACCTTTCTTGTTGAAGGTGATCCAAGCTCATTCCAAGAAGCAATGGATTCTTTACCTTTCTTGTTGAAGGTGATCCAAGCTCATTCCAAGAAGCAATGGATTCACCTGAATCTCCTTTTTGGAAAGAAGCCATTGAAAATGAGATTAAATCTATCATGAAAAATCATACTTGGATACTCACCGACTTACCTCCAGGCTGTAAACCTGTTGGTTGTAAGTGGATATTCAAGAAGAAACTTAGAGCTGAGGGTTCCATAGATAAATTTAAAGCTAGATTAGTAGCTAAAGGCTATACTAAGCAAAATAACATCGATTATTTTGATACATATTCTCCTGTAGCCTGAATCTCCACTATTCGAGTATTACTAGCTTTTGCTGCTATCCATAAGCTGATCATATATCAGATGGATGTTAAGATTGCTTTCCTGAATGGTGATTTAGATGAAAAAATCTATATGCACCAACCTGAAGGATTCATTGCCAATGGTCAGGAAAACAAAGTCTGTAAACTTATTAAATCTTTGCATGGTCTTAAGCAAACTCCTAAATAATGGTACTAGAAATTTGACAAAGTCATTGCGCAATATGGTTTCACCGTGAATGAACACGACAAGTGTGTTTACACTAAAGTGATAAACAATGACTATGTCATCCTTTATCTCTATGTTGATGATATCCTCATCTTTGGAACAACTCTTGAATTAATCTTAAAGATTTAAGGATTGTTTATCCAAGAACTTTGACATGAAAGACTTAGGTCTTGCTGATATGATACTTGGAATGAAAATCACTAGAGACACTAAAGAAATATCTTTGAGTCTTTCTCACAGTATTGAGAAAATGCTGATTAAATTCAACTTTCATAACTCTAAACCTATTTCCACACCTTATGATTCTTCAATATCCTTGAAGAAAAATAAAGGTGAACCAGTCTCTCAGCTGAAGTATTCTCAGCTTATTGGATCTCTCTTATACATATCCAACCGGACCAGACCCGATATAGCTTATGTTGTAGGGAGACTGAGTCGGTATACTAGCAACCCTAACCAAATCCACCGGTCTGCCTTAGAAAGAGTATTCAAATACCTGAAAGGCACAGTTGTCTATTGCTTGACTTACACTGGTTACCCTGATGCTATAGAAGGGTACAGTGACGCCAATTGGGTCACAGATTCTAACAGTGTAAAGTCAACATCTGGATATGTATTTCTTTTGGTGGTGCAACTATATCCTGAAAATCCTATAAGCAAACAGTGATTGCCAAGAACACCATGGAGTCTGAATTGATTGCTCTTGATACCACTTGTACAGAAACAGAATGGTTAAAAGATCTTCTCTTTGAATTTCCTTTGGTCCCTAAACCCTCTCCTCCTATTTCCATTCACTCTGATTCTAGATCCACTATAGAGCTTCTAAAGCAAGTGCATATAAATAAAAAACTTAACAGACATATTCAAATAAGATATAAATTTGTATAATGCCTGTTAGGTAAAGTTGTGATTTTGGACTTTGTAAAGTCTGAGAAGAATCTTGTTGACCCTTTGACTAAGGGATTATCCAGGAGTGTGGTTCTGGATTCATCGAGGGAGATGGGGTTACGCCCATAAATGAGATCATTGACAGCGGCAACCTAACTCTTATTTGGAGACGTAGTCCCAATGTTGGTTCAATGTGGTATAAACAAGCTGGACTAGTGACACTCGTGTGGAGCATCGATCTAGATATATTTATATATCATTATGTACCATCTGCTACTACCTCTTCTCTATGATGACGATGCTCTTATGATACAGCTGGTTAGGCTGAGTTTTACTCTTGATAAGTCCAACGCGTGTATTAAGGAGTGTATGATATCCAACTGTAGTATCATAGGAGGACTTACCTACGTGAGAGGAACCGTGATGACCGCGGTTAGGGGGGGCTGGTCTAACCTCTAGAAACTCTCATGAGTCGGTTATTATGAGCATGACTTTTAACGCTCAACCCGCTTTGCTCAATAGATGAAGACGTATTGTGTGTGTTTTCGTCAATACCTGGTTCAATGGGACTAATTCAAGGCCTGGTGTTCTAACCTTTTAATTTCAGATTTATACTAATTATTTTTTTTGACAGCAGATACATCTGATCTTGAAAATAAAAAAACTCAAGCCAATTCTGAATTAATTGTGATCTAGTTTTTTATCTCTTATAGTAGAAGTTTATAGTTTCAATAAATTTTTGGATCATGTAGTAGTGACCTGATCCAATACTGAAATGACTAACCTGAAAGCTCCAGGAATTTGTATTGATATTACTATTTCCTGTTACTTTACTCTCTACAATAATGTTCCTCCTTTCCTTTCTAGTTGTCTATAAACTTTATATGAACATGGATTTCATTGTTCTAGCAAAGAATATATAGTTTTTTAAAGCCTCGTGATGTACAAAACTCTTGATGTTGTGATGTATTGCTTCTGCTTATGGGTTTTGTGTAAAACCTCGGATACACATTTTGCACTTTATGTTACATCTCACAGGATTATGGTAAAGCTCGAAGAAAATCCATACGTGACTTTGATGTATGATCTGATTCAACATGTTCTATGATTTTATTTAGACTAGTAATCGCTCAAGTATGCTAGCCTCTTCTCCAAGTACCCACCTAACATCAAACTACTACCCTCCAATTCCATATACATGCTCAATTAAAATGGAAAAATGACTCTAATCTATCCACAACCACTTCATAAACAAAGGATCTCAACTTCATGCTCTTGGACACATTCTTGTTTCTTAGCTTTCATTATGTACGAGCACAAAGAGCATGACAGTTAACAGATTCCATAAAAGGGACCAGAAGCAGTCCTCTTTCTAACGAAAACAAGAAAATCCAATGGCTAGTTTAAAAATGGCACACTTAGTGCTTATGGGGATGCTTCTGATGTCATTTCTACCCAAATATACCATTGCACAGCTCAGGCCTATGTGCATTTCCCAGTTTGCCCTTGTCAACCAAGCCTGTGCTGTTCTGAAATTCACAGATGCCCCCAGTGATCGAAACAACACCAACAGGATTCAAGTAGCCTCTGATAATGACGACGACGACGATGATGACAATGACGACGATGATGACAATGGCAACGACGCCGATAATGATGACGATGATCCAGACGAGCCTGAACATGACAATAGACAAAGAAACCGAAATGGCAACAGAACAAGGCGTGGAAATAGAAACAGCAATGGACAAAGGCAAGGAAATAGAAATGGCAACGGGCAAAGGCACAGGAATGGAAATGGCAACAGGCAAAGGCACGGACATGGCCATGGAAATGGACATGGAAGTAGGCATGGACATGGAGGGAGGCATGGGGATGACCCACGAGTGTTCAGGGACTGCTGCCGATGGCTGGATGAGGTTGATGAGTCATGTGTATGCACTGCTTTGCTCCGCTTGCCTCCATTCCTTGTCAAGCCTAAGCACCGATACTTCATCAAGGTGGGGGACACTTGTGACCGCACTTTTGACTGTCATGGGGCTTAGAAAAGTTTCTAGGGCTAGTCTAACTTGATACGTGGAACTTTGGGTTGTAGTATGTCTTGGTTAGCATTAGTGCTGTGAGTGGTATGAGTCGCATTATTACTATGTTTTCGCTAGATATTGGCAATTGAGTGTGTGGGTATAAGTCGTGTCTAGCTTCAATGTTAGTAACTTAATCTCCTATATATGTCTCGTATTGCATGTTCCTCAATCGTTATATTAATTGCAATTATAATAAGGAGTTCTGGGTTTGTTGCAACAGAAATGTTGCAGATTTGATAGAGGAAATGAACTTGATTCCGTTTATTTGGTTTACTTCGCATGTATCGATGATCTCTATATATTATATGCTACGGTTAATTTGGCTGCATCATTTGTTGCGTTTGCTATTCTAGTTGGATTTCCATCCAGCCAAAAAAGACCCATCGAACTCATGCTCTGTTGGTTTTGGAAGCATGCAATGAGCCCAAAGAAATAGTGCAAATGTGGACCAAACTTCATATTGGTGATCGAATATGGGATGCCAAAATGACAATATTCGTGCTCTGACCAAAAAAATATGCAAGATCTTATTCTTCCACATTTTCTTTTGTTGGATTTTTGATACCAGCTGATGGCTCTTTGGCACTACCGACTCTTTTCCTCTTTTCTGGCCGAAAGAAAGTGAATGCTAATATTGAGGCTTGAGAATTGGGAGAGAATTTTGCATCTGTTGAACTGATTGAGATAGCATTGGAAGCTTATGTGATTGAACTAAAGCTCATACTTGAGATTCCTTGTTTCAGTGCCAAAGTACTAGAGAGTCGTCTTTATTTTCCATCCATATTTTGGATTCCTTGTGATGCACTCTAATTGATAGATAAAGGGTCAATTCCTTAAGAAATTCCTCTAAAAAGTTGGCTGGAGGAATAGCAGAAGGCTCAATCATCTCATCAACATGGTAAGCTTTCTTCATATTCTTGGTGTTTCTTTATTGGAATTTCTTGACTCGCTATCGTATCTTTCTTGATAGGAGTCAGGAGAACCAGATTCAATCTGCATGCTGCCAAATTGTTCCAAGTTGTACTATCCGATTGGTCGACCTCATCATCGTAACCTGTTTGTGAACGGATTCAACTTGTCTCCACTCTTAGCAAGGTACAAACATATTATTCACTTTCTTTATCACAATCATGTCCGCAATAAGCTGTATATACGTGTATACAACATGAACAAGGCCTTTATTCCAACTTTTTGTGGTTGGCTATATGAATCTTATTCTTCCATATTCAGTTCTGTTGAGGGTTATATCCTCCGTTAACCATTATCATGTCTTTTCTTACTGTTTCATGCCAAGTTTGCTTACTCTGGTCCGCTTTCACTTGCTAACCGTCACCTAATCACTTTTTATAATTGGTGCATTAAGAGGCTTATCTCTCTTTCGTAACCTTTTCTGTTTAGGATGCTAAAGTATCAAATATTTGTACGTCCCTCTAAACTATGTTTTAGAACAATATTTCTCATGGAAAGATCATCGTTTCTTCCATCCACTAGGGTACATAGATAGGTTACACGAAATAGTACTTATTTTTGTTTAGCGTGATGCTAAAAAAGCACTTATGTGAGTAGTTTTTTGACAAGTTGGTAGAGGGGCCTACTTAAAATCATAGGGTTCCCACAGTAGGAGGAGGTAGCCGAAAGAAAGAAAATTTTAGGGGGAGGGGGGGTTTTTTTAAAAGTGAGGCTTGAGGAGATGAACCAATTTCTTGCTAAAAGTAACAAAATTGAAAACAATACTATTTAATGAGATAAGCAATAAATTAACAGGTGCTGCTACATGCTCGTATGATGACATTGAGTGCTATGCACATGGATGAAAATAGAGAAGGTTCATGGTAGGAGGAACCATCTAGGGGGTGGAAATAATTGAAATTGGAAATACTACCCCCCTCCCTTTTACTTAGCTTTTTCATTGCGAAGATAAGAAATTTTCTGTAAAGTCAAAACTGAATGTTGAATAAATGAATTCTGATATGAGCTAAACTGTTGAGATAAGGAGAATACGCATAATTTCGCAATTATTTGATGGGAATTTGAATCCAACTAAATCTAGCATAAAAGCCTAGTGTACTCCCCAGTTCATCCTTAACCATACCGTAAAATTTTTTGTCCTTATACTGGCTGTTTGTCGTTATTCTGAGGTCAAATCATGCTAATTACTGTTACCTTGATTATTGATTAATTTTCCAGTGGGAGCGTAGGTCCACCAATTTTAGCAGTCCTCCAATCAAAAACAATGATTAGCTAGGTAGTTAGTTATAATGCTTACAATCTTTATTTAAAATAAATATAATGCTTGTAGATGTGTGGGCTATGAATGGTGTCGCATCATCTTTGAGATAGTGTCATAATTTTTTTGTTTATCTTGGAGGTCAATAATTATTGAATTTTTCTGACATGCACAAATAATAACCCTAATATAGAACAAATATTAATCATAGGTATTTATTTTTGTGACACGCATAGTTTCTCACCTAGACAGTGATAGATTTGGTTAGGGAATTCACCCTTTCGTCCTAAAATCAATTGAATTTTCCATTTTTGATAGTAATCGATCCTCGCCCTTTACTTCTTGTTTGATATTTGTAGAAATCAGGGCCTCAAGTTTGAATTATCAATCTTTTTTGACCTATTATGATTGAGTCTCGATATAAATACTGTCACATCCTAAATTGCAGGGTTGTTTAATTAAAAATTAAATTACAACTTGTTAATTAAATAAGTAATCAAATATGATTGGGGGGGGAAAAATTGTATAGTTTCATGCTGTTGGGTACACTGTTTTTGTCTTATTGACAATTACTTTCTATGGACACTTATGAGTTTCTATAATAAGGGCAATCAAAGCTACCTCTCTATATGCATATCACCAATTCAATTATGCATCATATATAGTACGCATCACTCACTTCACCTCAGCTGTTACCCACATAACAAGCTCCAAATGGTACATATAGGTATATATCCCTCTCATATGCATGCCTGTCGCCTCTTTAGAGCAATCTCTCTCTCTCTCTCTCTCTCTCTCTCTCTCTCTCTCTCTCACTTTTGACTTATCATTGCTTTTTTACTTTTGACTTCCCTCACTATACCAAGTTGCCGCATCTCCACCTAGCTTTTCATTGTACACAAAGGTTTTTCCACAAAATTTGAATATTAAATATTCCTTTGATGCATTTATTTTAAATTTTTTTTTTTCTTTTGTGCATGGTCCCTCTCTTTACCTATATATAAGAAGGCGCGTTGTATGTTTTTTTATGCACACTTGCCATCTCATCTCATCTCATCTCCCCCATACATTCCTATGGAAATCCTTCCAATATCAGCATCTCATCTAATTAAGTCACAAATCACACCTTTCACTGATAAGCTTAGAGAAGGTCACAAGTTTAAGACATGTTTACAGCAACAGATAACCAGCCTCTTCCGTTCCTCGCCTCCGAGGATCGACGCGCCACCTCGCCGGAGAAACAAGGTGGTCTTCATCCTCGGCTCCACCGGCACCGGAAAATCTAAGCTGGCGATTGACCTGGCCATCCATTTCGACGGTGAGGTGGTCAACTCTGACAAGATGCAGGTCTACGCGGGGCTCGACATCATCACCAACAAGGTCACCGAGGAAGAGTGCGCCGGTGTGCCCCACCACCTCATCGGTGGGGTCCACCCGGCCGCAGATTTCACTGCCTTCGACTTCTGTGGGGAAGCCAATAGGGCGATTGAGTCGATCATTGCCCGTGGACGCCTCCCGATCATCGCAGGAGGCTCAAACTCGTACATTGAGAGACTGGTCGACGATGATAAGGGTAAATTCCGGTCAAAGTACGAATGTTGCTTTATATGGATCGATGTCGACCTCCCAGTTCTGCACTCATTTGTGTCGGAACGCGTCGACAAGATGGTGGATATGGGTCTGGTGGAGGAGGCCAGGACTATGTTCGACCCGAACGGAGACTATTCGAAGGGGATCCGAAGATCGATCGGAGTATCGGAAATGGACCGATATTTCCGAGCAGGAAGATCAGTCGACGGAGAAGCAAAGGGGAAAATCCTGAAAGAAGCGATCAATGACATCAAAGAGAACACGATGAAGCTGACTTACAACCAGTTGCGTAAAATCCGTCGGCTTTCGACGCTTCCCGGATGGGAAGTGCGGAAAGTCGACGCGACGGAAGCGTTCCGGTGGCGGAGCGATCCACAAGCGGAGCGGGTGTGGACCATAGTCGCCAGAGATCCCAGCATCAAGATCGTGCGGAAGTTCCTGGATTCAAAGCTGGACGCCGTGCATTTCCAAGATGACCGCCGCATAGAGGCCAACTGCTGTCACCATCACGATCAGTGTGAAGAACGAGCATAAAGTGGGGCATGAGGCTGTGGGGCCCACGCGTCTGCACTAGTGAAAAGGGCGGAATGGAGATGGGGAGCGGGTCACTTTCAGTACCGTTTAGTGCTGATGATTGAGGGGGGGAGGGAGAAAGCGAGTGAGTTTTTGAGAGTCCGTGCGGCTTGCTGTCCTTTGTCACCGACAGTACACACTTGAGTGTGTGGTGGGGGCCGGAGTTTGAGTGAGGCCAGAGTTTTCAGCTTATCTTTTGAGAATAATAATCTGTACTTTAATTAATTTTGAGAATATATATATATATATATTTATATTTATATGTTTATTCATGGGCTCCTCTATGTACAGAGCAGAGGAAAAGAACAAAAAAAAAAAAAAAAATGGAATCCATATCCATCCTTTGATATTTGTCCTTTTCCTTTTGATTCTTGACGAGAAGTTTGTGAGGAAGAGGGCACGGTAGTGTTGTTTGCCAACTGGAAAGAAAAAGAAGATTATATTATCATTATTATTATTATTATTTCCTATCATGCACGCTCGCCGTGGTTGAATTAATTAAAAGTACATAAAACTGCGGTCTTTCTTTACTTATTATTTATTTAACTCCGCATACATTATGTTGAATTAATTCAAGTACATAAAATGCAGCCTTTCTTAATTTATTTATTGTTTAACCATATAGCTATACGTGAGATTAGCCTCACAAATCATTAAAATTGCTATTAGGTCATCTGAACCATACGAAATGTTTGAATATAGTCCTTCCGTTAAAGACGCATAGTGTTTATTGGATAAGTCCCTTTTATTACAAAATTGATCCAGTTCGTTAATCACGGTTGTGCTAGTTCTTGCGCATAGATGATCATCAAACCACCTTCACTAAATAATCCCTACTAATTTCTGCATTATCTCCTGAGGAGGAGAAATTCGTTTCCATCTTTGTCACCCCAAAAAATCAATAACGAAATCATTCTCTTTGTTATTATTATTTTTAACGAGTCAACGGACCGGGACTTTATTGCACGCTCTTGATTGATGCTGATAGCTAGGTTATATCAAACATATACGTTGTTAATGTGTCTAGATATTACATAAACAATCTAATATTTAACGCGGAATATCAACATTATTCAAAAGGTTAATTAGGCTTACAAAGATTGATTTTAAAATAAGCTATGAATTTTTTTTTTAAATTCTTTAATATATCTCTTCCATGATCAAGTAATCACCCATATGATGTAAAATCAACTAATGGTGGCCTCCTCGGAGTATTGAAAGAGTGCTTACGGAGTTGCATCATGTTTTAGTTTTAGAGGAGCACTAGGGGCACACCTTGGGACACACTCCCAATCACACCCCTCACCTGCTACAGTACAGGGGGGTCCCACTTGAGATTTTTTAAAAAAATCTCAAATGGGACCCTCCTGCACTGTAGCAGGTGAGGGGTGTGGTTGGGAGTGTGTCCCAAGGTGTGCCCCTAGTGTTTTTTTTAGTTTTAATGATCTGCCTATACGAGCTAGCTAGCTAGCTAGCTAGTAAAGTTTAATTAATATTGTATGTTCACACTCAAAAAGGGAGTATCTTACACCCGTGCATGCCCTAAAGTCTTCTTGCTTTTGTTAGTTAGTGGCTTATATGCGTTATCACGCTTATATTCCGTTATTTAATTTATTGTTTTGAACTACATCAATAGAATAATCCCAAGTTTCCAACCATCCCTTTCAATTAATAATTAGTTGTCATTAACTTGTGCTAGACTCACTCACAAAAAGTGATATTGACAAGTATCCAAATATAGTAAAAGAAGATACGGGTTATTGCTTAGTTTAAACCTTGGCTTGTTAATTCTAAGATGATCTTGCCAGAACTTTCCATGAATATATATATTTATTATCCAGATAAGGTGGATGATTGAGATTATTTCTGAGGGGATGGATGGCTTCCATTTCTTGTCTCTTTTTTTCTTCTTCTATTTTTTTTTTGTTTGATGACATAGCCCGGAATTGTACGCAATATCGTAAAAGTCATATTTAAACCTCTCAATCATCCGGATCATCTATGGTGGTCATATCAGTATATGGTATAATGTTTATTCATATCATTATATGGTATAATGTTTACTCCAAGAAGAAGAAGAGCAAGCCTTTAGGCTCATCTAATAGTTCTTCAACAGTTCCCATAATATAGCTTACATATGTTCTTGAGCTCGTGTCCTTATTTAAGAAAACATAAATAAATAAATAAAAGGAAAGAAAGAATGAAGAAGAAACCAGTGCTGGTTTATTCTCACAATGATAAAGCTTGAGCTCATACAGTGTCACTGTATATATTTCAGTCTACCAACGATAACTGTTGGGTGCGAGTGACGCCCACACCGTCGCAGAAGCAAATTAATCCCGAGAGAAAACAACCTAGCTTGAGTTTACGCCAAAGTCAAACCAACTAATACATGCAATAACGAATACACAAATAAAACAATAAGTAGATGAGACGAGACAACAGATTTACGTGGTTCGGCAAACTTGCCTACGTCTACGGGAGCCACACAAATAATTTCTTATTTAACCACAAGAAATTACAAAGCTTGTAAAAGAGAAGATCTCAAACTTGAGATCTCTCACAGTAACAACTCGTCACTGTAGTAAATACTACAGGACCCTTGTGCAATTTTTCTTCGAAAAATTCACTTCTCAATAAACCTTGAGAAGAGCCGCCGCCACCACAGAAGAAAAATCTTTCTGTTAAATCGCCAAGATGAGCTCACAGCTATCATGAACAAGGTTTCCCTTTTATAGGGAAACCCTAGGGCTCGTTGTATGTTGGAAAAAATTCGATGTAAAAGAAATGAAAGAAAAATTGATTTGTATTCTCTCAAAATCGATTACAATTTGGATTCCGATTACAAAAGAGAGGAGAATGAATTTGATTCTCCCCTTTGTTTAAGTCTGGGTTCTTCACGGTGGCGATGGAGTGCCTCACTCGAATGCTCGAGTCGAGTTTGCTCTCCGTTGACGATCCGCACGTCTTGATTCACTGGAACGTGGTCTTCTCCTCACGATTTGACGTTGTGGAGGACTTGCGTGGCATGTTTGAAAATAACTCTTAACGAGTTAATAACTCAGAGCGAGTTTAGAAAAACTCTGTGAAAGGGTTGATTTAACCGAGTTGATTTAACCGAAATCGGTTAGTAAGCCAAGGATGAAAAAGATCTTGTTGCTGGTCTCCAAAGCTCCAACAATTCCCCTCAAAAGCTAGCCGAAGATCTCTTCTTTGCTGCCAAAAAAAAAAGGATCTAAACTCAATTGAGTTTCGAGGTATTTATAGGGGATTAAGGGGGTGTAACCGCCCCCTTAATTTGCTCCTTAATGGGCTGAGTGGGGTGTAACCCCCCCCTAAACAGCTCCCCAAATCGTGGGGAAAACGGTTTTGAAACCGTTCTGTTAGTGCTTTGAATGAGTCAAAACGCCAATCTGGGTGTTCTGGGCCGAACTCTGCGTTTTAGACTAAAAAACGCAGAGTTGGGCCTATTTTGGGTGGCTGAACGCACAGGCCACGATGCGTTGTGAACTCTGAAATGCAGGGTTGGGACATTTTAGGCTGAAAACGCACAGGTCGCGCAGCGTTGTGAACTCTGAAACGCAGAGTTGGGACGCAGAGTTGAGCTCTGCATGAACTATGCGTTTTTGGACTTGGGACGCAGAGTTGAGCTCTGCGTTTTAAGTCCACAAACTCTGCGTTTCGAGTTTGGAACGCATCCACGACCTCTGCGTTTTGAGTTTGGAACGCATCCACGACCTCTGCGTTTTGAGTTTGGAACGCAGCCGCGATCTCTGCGTTTTGAGTTTAGAACGCGGGGACGACCTCTGCGTTTTGAATCTGGAACGTGGCCATGACCTCTGCGTTTCGAATCTTGGATGCAGAGGTGAGTCTCAGGCGGGCTCGACGAGCTTCAGGCTAAGTCCAATGTTCAGACGAAGTCCAGTCTTGCAAACGGACTTTAGAACATGACTTGCTGCGAAGAACAGGTCATAACTTTCAAACCGTAAGTCGGAATTGGACGAATTATATATAAAAATCGGCTATCTCGACGAGACGGAGCCATCCGAACCGAGCCAAAGGCTTCGGTTCGCTTCCTCCGTTTTGCCAAATTCCTTACGGTTTGAGAGATATATACGTTTTAATATGAAGAGACCGTCAATTTGTAGTCTCTTTTGCTAGAGCGTTGCAAAGATCGTCACCTTGTAACCTTCGTCTTGGCTCCTTAAAAATATGAGAGTCATCAGATTGTAACTCCCGATGTTGATTGTGAAGGCTGTTGAATTAGAGCTTTCATCAGTTGTCGTGAAGGTCGTCAGATTGTAACCTTCAGCGATCTACGTGAAAGTCCTCAAATTGTAGCCTTATGGAAGTCGTCAGATTGTAACTTCCGTCATCGGTGTTTGATGGGGATCAGCTATCTGTTGTGATTTTTAGACAGCCTACACTCGTTCTGCCAGCGAGCTCCAGCTGGCTTCCACTAGATCAGGCGAGATCTATCCACGTTCCTCCAGGCGAGCTACTCCTTCGACAAGCGAGCTCATGGGCGGCAGGCGAGCTCGAAGTCCACCATCTCGCCCGCAGGCGAGCTTTACGCCCAGTTCCCCTCGATCTTCAGGCGAACTCCACACCCTCCTTCAGGCAAGCTCCCTCGTCCCCTCGATCTCCACACCAGCACTTCAGGCGAGGTCCTCGAATGCATTAGGCGAGCTTCCTCACCTCTGTCAGGCGAGCTCGACCTCGCCTTCGTCAGGCGAGCTCGACCTCGCTGTCAGGCGAGCTCGTCCTCGCCTCCGTCAGGCGAGCTTGACCTCGCCTCCATCAGGCGAGCTTCTTCACGTCGCCTCTCCACACACAGGTGAGCTCCGTTCTTATTCAATTCTCCACCTCGTCCATCATTTGATAAACCTCAAATTTTGGACGAACATCAAAAGAATCCCGCAACGCCAACTAGGCTAAAATTATGCTAAACTAGCTGCACCATTATACTGTGGCTGCCTACGAACCCTCCACCAGGATCAAGCTAACCGTAGTTCTACATATTGCCCTCTTGGACAGATCAATACAGGCTGATATGAAGCAAGTCCAAGCAATGCTGAAACTTACTACTTATCACCACCTTGGTCAACATGTCGGTTGGATTCTCATTCGTGTGCACCTTCATGAGAGAAAATTTACCTTCCTCTATGACATCCCGCACAAAATGAACTTGATTCTTAGCCAAATATATTGCACTCCTCTG